TCTATTTCTAAGAACCATTAGAGACCAAACAGCTCTGAGACCTTTACCTTATTTTATAAACAAAGACTTTGTGTTTCTCCCTTGAAGAACACTTTATTTGGCTTCATATTTGTTCATATCTCACTGAGAGTAATTAAGGGGAACATCTGTGCTTCAGGAGAGCTCTGAGATGAGCAGGCCTGCTGGCAAAGCACTGGTGGACACCTTGTGTGCAATTTCAGACCATGCAATCACCTGAGAAGATTAAAATCCTGATGCCTAAGTCCCAGCCTAGAGGGTCTGATTCTTCATTGGTCAAGGTATCAGGAATTTTAGAAGCTAATAAACAGCCAGTTTTGAGAATCACTGCTTTCGGGCAGGCTTTCTAACTTGATAAACTTCCCCTATTTTACTCAGATGATTGATATTGGAATTATTAGAGAAATGGGATCCCAAATGAAAAGAAGTCCATGACAGAGAGGACATCCTCAAAAGTCTAGCCAGGTATCATAGAAGAAAGTCAAAATCATATCAGCACAGTATCAGGAAGAATATGAACTACTTTGGCATACGAGCATTTTGGGAGCTAAACTACAAAATAACCCTTTTAGAGACTCCAGTTATTATTTCTTAACAGGTGATTGAAGTAGAGTAAAAATATTCAAGAACTGATGATAGCAAAGCAAGTCATCAAACTTTTATCCAGGTGCAAGGAGAAATATGCTCTTTTAATCAGAGATAGTTTTCTTTTGAATCAATTTCTTAATATTTAATATTTTTCTGTGTGTTTTCCTGATAGTTCTTCTGTATGTTTTAGAGAAACTGGCTAGTTTTAATGAAATTGTATAAATCATTAAATGTTAGCAGAGCATCAAGCTCAATTTGTGGTTCATCTCACTATCTTGAAGGAAGAAAAGTACCATTTCTATTTTTGAATATGTATGTCTTCTGTAATGGCTAGTGGATTCCAGTGAAAATTATTTCACCTGAGGTGGTTAAATACTATGTGAGAAAAAAATTTAATAAGCTGTCTTAAAATAAGATTGGCCCACTATCTTTCATAATCCCATCTGCCCAACATTTGCTGTTCTCCTATCCAGCTGATAGAACCATTGCTTTTATCTGTTTCCATTACAGCCAAGGTTCCCAAATTTTCCATTATGTAATTTAGACAGAAATTCTACAATAGCGTTTTTTACTCGTAGTCCTTGCCCAAAATAAGCTTTATTGGACAGAAAGAAATAGTAATAAGGAAGTCATAGCATCTAGGTCAGTGCTGACACAGAGAGAGAGAGATTGACATAAAGGGGGAAACAGCGAGAGAGAGAAAGAGAAAGACAAAGAGAAAACGAGTAAGGAAAGAGGTTTTCATTCATTTTAGGAAAGTTTGAGCAAATCTCTTTTCTTTTCCTAGCAGAGTGTCTCTCCCTCTCTCTATTTTCCCTCTTATTAGGGAAATTGAATACATTCACATATATTCTGATTGCTTACATTATTGAAATTATTTATACCAATTCATTTTATAGTTTCACTCTCACTTTATTTCCTTTCATTTTTTAAACTTTCTTGACATCTGTTGGTTCAGTCTTTATTGTCTATGTATTTTCTCTCTTAATTTTTATTTTTCTGGTCTTTTATATTTTAGTGCACTGATTTAAACTTCTACTTTTCTGTCAATATCTAGCACTAGTCAGCTCCTCTATTATTCTGCTAAATGATACAAGAATCTTTTTACTTACATTTTACTTACATTTACTTACAAGAATCATTTTACTTACATTTTCTTGACCCCCAACCCACCATCTCTCATGCCAGCATCATCTGGGATATTCATTCTAAACAGATATTAATTTTTCCAATCAATACTTGTCAATTTAAAATATTTACTATTTTACTTTATTTTGTGCTTTTGCTACTATACTTCTTTCTTAACTCATGTCTTCCCCTGTTTGTTTTCCTGAAGAACAGCTTCTAGTTTTTTTTTAATAGCTTCCAGTTCTTTAAGAGACTGTCATGTGAAAAAATGTTTAGACTCTGTATTACTTCCCTATTGCTGCTAGAACAAATCACTGCAAACTTAGTGGCTTAAATCAACAGAAATGTATTCTCTCACAATTCTAGAGGCCAGAAGTCTAAAATGGGTGTGCAGGGCTGTATTCCTTCTGGAGGCTCCAAAGAATCCCATTTGCTTGCCATTTCTAGTTCACACAGGCACCTACATCCTTCGCATCATGCCTCTCTCCCCCCATCTTCAAAGCCATCAGCCTCTTCAGATCTCTTTCTCTCTATCCCGGTGTCTTCATTCAAGGAGGTCTTTTGACCTCCTTCTGTTCCTCTTAAGGGACTTTGGGATTACATTTCGCTCCTGACTGGATAATTTATGATAATCTCTGCATCTTGAGATTCTTAACTTAATCACGTCTGCACAGGCTTTTTTTTTCCATATAAGGTAACATTCATGGATTCTGGGGAATGTGTATATCTCGGGAGCCATAATTCAGCCTATCACAGTTCTTTTTCCCAGAGCATATCTTTCTTACGATCCCTTGTGTAAATGAGAGTTTGGCTGGATATGCAGCACAAATTCAAAAGTTATTTTTTCAAAATCTCTTTATTTTATTTCTTTGTATATATATTTTTATTGAAGTATAGGCAGTTTACAATGTTGTGTCAGTTTCTGGTGTACAGCATAATGCTTCAGTCATACATGAACATACCTATATTCGTTTTCATGTTTTTTCACCATGTTACTACTACAAGATATTGAATATAGTTAGTATTTTATCTTAATATCTTCTTTTAAGCTGCTACTGTGTAAGGTGGAGTCATTCTGGTGAGGAATTGATTTTATTGCTATAGTAATTACCTTTGGTGCACCAAGTCTTCAAATTCCATTAATGGAGGGGCTATGGTTACCTTAACTTCTTTTCAGTGTCAGTGCCTCACCCTCAGCTTTCCATTGTCCCTGCAAACTTCTAGAAAACTTACCTCTTTTTCTTACTGATACACTAGAAAGAAGGAATTTTATTGCCACTTAGTTGTTCCACCTGAGTGGATGGAGAGCTGCGTTGGAAAGCTCTGCTTATGGTCCTGAGGTGCTCTTGGGTTTTGCTGTGAATAAATAATGACAATGTTTATAGATTTCAAAGGTCCAGCAAAACTGCACTGCTTTCAAATTATTTCAAGAATGAGTTCTAGGTGAGTGCACTTTCAGGATGAATAATGGGTTAGTCAGGGAAGCAGGAGAAAGACATACTGAAGCTTTGATTTGAAGCTTGGAAGCAATCCAGGCACAGAATTGGTCCAAAATGGAATGACTTGAGCATAACCTTGAGAGGTCTGAGATGAGATCAGTAAGAAAGAGTCTATATGAGGACAGGATCATGTAGACCTAGGACACAGAAAGGTGTGAGAAATGGTCACTCAGAAGTAGCTTTTTAAGGCTTATAAAAAATCATGCAAGTATTCAAGTTTTATAAAGTTCTGAGTTTCTATCTTCTCATGGTTTTATGGTATTAAAATTATTTTGTTATATCTATTTATATAGTATATCAACTCTCTGTCATATGCTTTCTGAATGTAATCCCAACTTATTTTTGCCTTTGAGAGTTACATTGTTTATTATCAGAACTGTAATTTTATGTATTAGTAACTATTTTCCGTTTTGGTCTACGACTTTGCTGATATTGTTTAGAAAATCCTGCTTCTCTAAAATCATATAAATATTTAACTTTATCATCTCCTACTACATTTAAAAAATATATTTAACTATTCAAACTGTTCCATAGGTATTTGGTATATGATGTTAGGGAAGATTAACAAATTGTCCTAATTCCATGTATTGAACAAATGATCCTGGTCTTTCCCCCATCAATTTGAAAAGTCATTTATATTATGTACCAAATTTTTATATATCCTTGTGTTCCCTGGTCTGTCATTGCCTGCTTTGTAACCATTTTGTTCCCTTAAACGGAAAGTTCCCTGAAAAATGAGACTTTTCTTACCCATTATTTTAAATCACATTTTGTTGGTGCATCCCATAAGCATGTTGTTTATTTCAGATAATCCTAGGAATATTTTGATGTGTGTATTTTAAAATCTTTCCATGTACAAAATACTCAGTTAAAACCACTTATATTGCTAGTTCTGACTTGAGATAGCAAAATTTAAGAGAAAAATCGTACGAAAACAACCTTAACCATATTCAAGGTTTTCTTTGCTATTCTGAAAACCTTATTACTTATTAGTGAATGCATTACTTTATTTATATGGTTTACTTCCAGCAAAAATATGCACAAATGGCCTAAATATTTCTTTCCAAATTAAACAACTTACCACTTTCTGATAACCAAAATGTGTAATAGTGTGTCACTGGTAGACGAACTGATACAGCTGCTTTTGCAAAACAATATGTCACCAATGTGCTTATTTACAAAAAAATTACATGCCATCAAAAGCTCATCCCCTTGTATTCTTCAGATATATCCACAAGGATAGTATTTCTGGTAGAATGAGGGGGCATCTATCTTACCTGACATAATTTGAAATACACAAAGAATATCTCTATGGAAAAACATCTCCTTGTCTGATGCCTTCCCTTTTCAACTGTGCTATACTCCCTACCATAGCAGAGCCCACTGAGTTCTAATTCTTGGTATGAATGAATGTACCATACCACTTTTTTCCCTGAGAAAGGAGGAAGGGACAAGAAGACAGTGAAATAAATAGGAGGAATGAAGCTTTAAATTCATCTCTTTGATCATTTTGCCTGGTGGTAAACAGATTGAAGCTTTGCTTAAATTCCACAATCACCTTATATCAACCTTGCAAAAAATGTTCATTAGATTTTACATTTTTATCCCTTACAATATTAGAATGACGTATTTTCCTTTCTCGCTTTTGATGGGAATGTAAAATTTTCAAGCTTCACTGGAGCAAGTGTCATGAGTGAACTATGAGCTAAAAACTAAGCATTCTCTTATCTTTGGATATGAAATAATTATTATTCTTTTCCTTTTCAGTTTCTTCTTTGCGGCATATGTGGAATACTGTGCGCCAAAAAAAAATCTGGACTCGTCGTAAGTTTTTGCCTTGCTTGTATTGTGCGTTGAAGTATTGGAAATGTAAGAACTCAGAAATGGAAATGATGACTAGCCAACTTCATAGGCTGAATGTTACTCATTTAGGATAAAAAGAAAACTGACACATAAATCCTGGCTTTTTATTTTCAAAGAAGCCATCAAGATTATTACAGACTATGACTAAAGAAAAAGAAAGAAAAGCTTTGATATACCCTTTAAATACATAAATCTGCAACCCTCAATGACTGCTGTGAATGCCTGTCTCCACTTATCCTTTTTATCGACTCCCAGACACTCACAAGCTTGAGTTCATGGGAAATTTAACAGTTTAGATATGGAACTGGGCCTACTGGCTTGGACTGTGAAGTTAATTTTGCAAAACAGCAAAACAGCTGTGTTGTAGTTGCAGTTAATTGCTTAAGGTTTTTTTTTTTAATTTAATTTTATTTTGTGACTGTGAATGCAAATGTAAAAGTGCAAATCATTCTCAGATGTCTTATGGTGCTACCATAGGTTTCAGGGGGTATGGACCTTGCTCCCAGTTAACTCTACTATTGGGTGGAGGAGAATTTCTGTGTGCAGAAGTATGGATTCCCCACTGCCTTTCATGACAGTTTTTGGGAGTTAGAAAGTAGGAAAAAGCATGTTTATTTTATTGAGTACAATAAGAAAGATCATAGACCTGTATACGTTGGCAAAATTCATATTATCTATGGATATTAGAAAGTGATCTTTTTGAGACTATAAAGAGTTTTCCAAGGGGAGGTCAGTTATCTAAGGAGACCAGGGAAGGGGGAGTATTGCAGTCATTTTGTTCAGTTCCTTTTCTAATCACAACCTTCTTTGTGAGAATACCTATTGTGACAAAAAAGATGAAGCCCCCACTGCTTTAGATAGGTAAGATGTAATTTTTAAAAATTACATTAAGAGAAACTTTTGGATAAAAAATTGTTTGGAGGCTTATAATTTGCATCTGTAATTCTCCCATCTCTCTTTAGCATGGTTTTCATTCTTTCTATACTTTTCCTCTTTAATGACTCTTTATGACTGTATAGTAACAATTTCTTGGAAGGTGGATGAAAGAAAAGGAAAGAAAGGAAGAAAGGAAAGAAAGAGGGAAGGAGGGAGGGGATGTGATGAAAAGGGAGAGAGAAAGGAAGGAGGGAGAGGGGAGCGCAGAGGAGGAGAGATGTCCAAGTCGGTTCAGGCTGCTGTAACATGTGCTGTAGACTGGGTGGCTTATAAACAACAGAAATTTACTTCTCACAGTTCTGGAGACTGGAAGTTAGGGTTAGGGTTAGGGTGCCAGCATAACTGGGTTCTGATCAGACTGTCTCCTGGGTTGCAAATTTCTGGCTATGTCCTCTTGTGGCAAATGAGAGTAAAGATCTCTCTAGAATCTCTTTAATAAAGGCACTGGTCCCATTCACAAGGGCTCTAACATCATGATCTAATTGTCTCCCCAAAGCCCTGCCTCCAAATACTGTAGTATTGGGGATCTGGCTTTAATGTATGAATTCTGGAGGGACACAAATGTTCAGTTCATAGAAGGGGAGGGAAGGGATTTTTAAAAGGTCACTGGTGTCTTTCCTGTCTTTCTAATTTTCTTATAAGTTATAAAAGAAAAATATTATAAGATCTAAACTTTTTAGAAACTGTCATCCGGTTATCCTCCTGTAACATCTGAGGTTCCCACAGATGACATTAACTGTCAAAGATTCTCTACCCTTTAATCAAATTGTGTGAAAATTTCTCCACTCCAAATATCTCTAAAGTCTAGAATCTCTAGTCTGGTGAAACTTAAAAATAGTGTATGATTATAAACTTGGGTACAGATTTTAACATGTTAATTCCTGGGTGAGAATGTTCTGTGAATAAAGTGTCGTGCCTTTAAGGAATTAATGGCAATAGCATCAGGAGAGGTAGTGTTTTCCTCTAATAGTCAATTAACTTTGTTATTTATTTTATTAATTAACAGTAATTCAGAGTTATTTGAGGCTAGAACGTAATATCTTTCCATATTTTCTGAGAAAGTGTAAACAGCAAAATATATTCCCAAGAAACAACATACCATTTGAATGTACTTTAAAAAGAGATGTAACTGGTTGATTCTGTTTGAAATGAGGAGCTACAATTTCCCACTTGAGATGATTCAGTTATTTGGTAATCGACATTCAGTGTTATGTTTAATCAACTATTAAAAGATTATACTTATGCATCCCTGGGTTTCAGTCTTGGTGATAAGTACTCTATGACAGACACAATAAGGAATGCTGAATTGTTAAAGAAACAAAATGAACTACTTGTACTTCTTTTTGCTCACCCTGCTGTTTCATGCATGCATGGCCTTACCCTTTTCTGGGAACTACATACACTTAGCTTAGATGACACATTGTCAAGAAAGCCTTGTCTGAAACCTCTGGTTGGACTAAATTCCCCTCCTCCCTACTCTGAGGGAAAACTTTTATCATTCTTTCTGAATATTTGCCATACCACGTTAGAATGTTGGATTGTCTCTCACACAGGACCGTGATGTATACCCAAGGGGAATGGCCACGAGCTCTTCTTTATTGTAATGCCAACTGCTGCCTCACTCACGGTCTAAAAGATGTTGGGTGCTCAATGTGTGTTTGCTACCTCAGCTAACTCAACAGCAAGTAGTACCTAATGATGTAAAACTGAATGCTAAAGTAAGTTACGAAACTGTTTGCCCAGTAAAGTCCAGGAAGGCTTTCTGAGGAAGTTAGGGCTAGATTTGGGTCTTCTATCTAGGGATTCAAGAAGGAAGAAAATAATTTCCAGGAAATGAAGCACGTCATTGAGGTGGGAGTGAACAAGCTATATATATTAAGGGATGAGGGAGGTGACTAAAGTAGAGACTGTGCTCCAAAGAAAAATGGAAATAATTACATTAGTATCACACTATAACATATCATGAAAACCCATAGGAGACTTTAGACAAGATACAAATATAAAATAAATGATTAATCTTGGGGTACTGTATAGCTCAGGGGTAGAGTACATGCTTAGCATGCACAAGGTCTGGATTCAATCCCCAGTACCTCCATTAAATGAATGAATGAATGAATGAATGAATGAATAAATAAATAAATAAATAAATAAACCTAATCAGCCCCCACCCAAAAAAAGTTAAAATAAAAAAATTTTAATTATTAAATCTATTGAAGTATTCAATTAAATTTATTAAATATTCACAGAACATTTACTACACGGAAGGCATTATGCTCGGTTCTGCCAGGGATCTTATGATATTTGGGTTGAATAAAAACCCCTAGCTCTATTAAAAGAGACCCACATCAAACCAACAGTAGAATCAAAAGCAAAGCCACACCCTGTGTTTCTCCAGAACAATCAACCAAGCAGTATTTGGGGAATATCTGTTGTGTGGTACCACAGAGTAACAAATCATTTGTAAAATAAATCACCTCTAAGTTCACAGAGAGTCCCTACACTACCTGTTGGGAAAATAGATGCTAAAACAATAAAATTCTTCTAAACGAAAAAAAGGAGCTAACCAAATTCCCTAAGCCCACACAGCTAGAGAAGTACAAAGTTTTGCAGCTCAGTGGAACTAGTGACAATTCAACAAGATGGTATTTAGATCATTTGTGGGGATTAACAGTGAAACTGGATTCCGAGTCAGAAAATCTGGATTCAGTCCCTAAATTTGAGTGTTAACTGCTCACCATTCATTTTCCAAAATGTGTATTACCTCTCAGAGGATAATGGAGGGTTAATTGAGATGATTGCTGTATGATCAAGTTCCTAGCATAATAACACACAATAGATATTAAATAAATATTATTTAAATCTGAATCTACCTAGAAGATAAATTTTGCTTACTTCAGAGTTTTCATGAGATATATTCCTGGCCATTATAGAGTCAACTATTAATTCCTGAAACACTGTGGTCTGTGCCCTCTCTATTAAGCCAGATTGCACAGAAACTTGTTAAAAAGAAAATAGCCCCTGTCCTCTAAGAAGCACCCAAAGCACCTTCTGTTTATGGTAACTCAGCTATCCTTGACATGTATAGCAGAGCAGGGTGCTGTGTTTTGGTCAGCCTTGCTTTTTCAACTTTAACTCCCCCTTTCTTTTTCATGTCAGATGATCATCTTTTCCGCCTGCTGCATCTGTGGACTCATTGGGGGCATCCTGAACGTTCAGTTCCTTCGGGCTGTGACAAAGAAGACCTCTTCCCTGTATCCTCTGCATCTCGCCTCCATGTCTCTTGCGTGCATTGGGATCGGGGGCTGCACCCTCTCTTCATGGCTCACGTGTCGACTAGCCAGCTATGAACAGAGGAGAATGTTCTCAGAAAGGGAGCATTCTCTGCATCACTCTCATGAAATGGCTGAGAAAGTGAGTTTTGTACCTTTTCCTTTCACTGCTATCATGCGATGAAGACTGCAGTCAAAAGTAGGTGAATCAACTTGTAGCCTTAGATGAGAATTTGAGGGATTGTATTTTATAAGAGTTTGGCCCTATTGTACTAAGAATAGGAATTTTTTATTATTTTTTTCTTAGTAATTCTGGGAACACCTATTTTCAACGTAATTTTGTAGCCTCTCTAACTATGTAAAAGCACAGTTCCTAAAATAGAATCTCATAAAATATTGAATGTCTTATAAATACGGATTTTTATGTGTCGTACTGTGGAAAAACATAAACCAAATACACTCTCAAGTCAATAATGCCAGTTTTAGCAATCTGATGAATTCTCCTTTCTAGCTCATCCCTTGTGCTTGTAAGTAGATGCATTTGATTATGTAAATTAGATTTTCAAGCATAAAGAGGCCTTTTAATAAGACGACAAAAAGCTTTGCCTATCTGTGCAGATATTACAATCCACGTAAAGCTTCATTTAATTCTTATCTAAACTTCATGCATATTTGGGTAGCTTTGCCTGTATTTTAAACAACGTTCCTTGCATAACTGTTTCATGAAACCCATTCAAAGAGGAAGTTACATTTATTGCATAAAATGACAGTGATATAGTGAGCTGTCTGTGTTTCTTCTACATTTTGTACATGTTTCTTAATTCAGTTCCTGCTACTGGGTCTGTTAAGGAAAAGATAAAACATCTGTAAAATAAACTCACTAAGATAATGGCTACATCATATTTTACTTGATATCATGGAAAAAACTGCATAACAACAGAATAGAAGAAAGAGTAGCAAGAGTTGCTACCGCATATTTCTTTAGAATGTGCTTTTGAAGAAAAAAAATTCATTTTGTAGTTTTATGTGTTTCCATTTCATTTACAATCTATACATTCAAATAAGGAGAGTAGGTTCTCTTAAATTGTTCCAAGAAAGTGATTTTAAGCTGAACTACCTGTGTCCTTCCAAAAAGAGTTAATAATACAAATAGGACTGGTAACTTAAAGAAAATGGATTGTTAAAAATAAGTTATCATTATATATTTGGATAGTGGCTCATTTGTGCTCTATTTTTGTACTAGTGTGCTTTAGTTTTTTTTGTATATGTTTGTGCAATATTTATTGTATGATTGTTATATTTATATTAGAGATTGAGGGCTATTGAAATAACCGACTTGCCCAGCTGCCCGGTGGTGCCCCCGACACCAGAGTTACCTACAAGGTACGCTGACTTCTAGGGAGTTACCATGTTGTAATGTCACTGCAGGAAGCACTGCCTCTTCTAGGAAGCCATGATGTCAGCAGATCAGTCTGGACTGATGCTGTGGTGTTGTTTCTCAAAGTATTGCTTTCATGACAGCTACTCTGAGGACCTGACATAAACCTACATGGCAGAGTCCTGCAGCTTGAAATTTGGTTGAGTATTTAAAATATTCAGCCTGCCCATAAGCATCCAAACACACTTCTGCTTGGATGATTTGTGACTCCTTTATTCTCTGCTATATCATGAATCTGACTTGATATCATCATTCACAGACCAGAGTTCTGTGTTTAGTAATAGATGTGTCTGATAAAGGCAAATGCTCTCATGCCAAAGTTGCATGAGCAGATAACCTAAGTTTGACACTACTACAGTAAAAATTCGGTATAAAAGCTTTCTCCTTGTAAACTTACCTGATGTGATACACTTCAAATTTATTTCCCTTGTTATGGATTTCTGCAGAAAGGATATCCATTGGCAAACAATCACATCGAGTCCTGCCCAAATTTAGAGTATAATCTTCTTGTTAAATTGGACATGCCTATTTGCAAATTAACTGAAGATACTCATCCATTTTAAAACAAATTTTCACTCTTTTTTCCTGTCAGTGCTTTTGTTATGTCCATACTAGAGTGAATATAGTTACAAAAATTCTTTCTTTTTGTAAGATTTTTAAAAACTGGATTTTTTCTAAATCCCACAATAAAAGATTATACCTTGGATTTTTTTTTTATGTTTCTTAAGATACTTTTTGAATGCAAAGTTATTTTAGGAAAAGAAAGGTCACCTGAGAATCTTTCTTTTGTAAATTCATTAGAAAATTGTGTTTGTCTTAATAGAAGGAATAGAAAAAGATAGATGAGTGAATTTTGTCAAAGATCATTTTGGAGGGATCATTTCTGTTTTTCTTGCCACCCATAATGAGTTCTGAAATGAAGCCTCAAATCAAGTATCTTATCAATAAACTTAACTTCAGCCAAATAACCCCAGTGTATTTTCAGACCTACTTTCAGCAGCATATCTCCAGCAGAGCCAGCCTCTCAATTAGACTGAACCATCACCAGACCATAGAGACAGGCTGTTGATTCCAAAAGAACTTCTCCACGTTCTGTCACAGCCTTTCCCCCAAATGGTTTGAGTTCTCAGCTTTAGGTAATCCCTCAGCACCTTGCCAGGATAGGTATAATGGATATCCACATACAAGACAACCCCCCAGGGCCTGGAAGAGGCCAGGTACTTCGCACAGAGAGAGAGGTCTTGATGTGAGAGGAGGAAAGGTCTTCTTTGCATATTGCCTTCTTTCTCAGAATTTTCTTGGACAAAACTCGACCTCATTTTCTAAAAGACAACAAAGTTTTCAAAAGCAAAGTTCCAAAACCAGACCAATTCTTACCTTCCAGTCCTTCACTGATCTTCCCAAACAAGTTTGAAATCCACTTAATACAAGAAGCAAGTGTCTTTATTCTATTTCATCTCCCGTACTGAATTTTCAAAGAGAAGAGACTAAAACTGAGACATGGATGTCATTTCATTTTTAAAATAGATATTTGGAAGAATTTCTAAATTTACAAAAGCAAGCACATTACTTTTTATTTTTAATTCACCCAGCCAGAAATTAGATATACCTGATAGGCTTGAGATCATTGAGAAAATAATTTCCACTTGAGTCTTCTTTATGTCACTTTTGCAAATAGGCTTGTTCATCTGTGGAAAGATGTTGTCATCTATTTTTAGATAGTTTTGCCTAAATATTAATATGGTGGTGAACTAAACATTATAAATCTGAATGGGCCTCACACCTTCTCATTACCTTTTATTGTATAGGGAAGAGTTTAATGTTTAACAAAACATATGAATCAAACCATCTAAATTCTTCTTAAATTAACATATTTTCTAAAATTGCAAATGAAACTTTTTATGTTAGTTCAGTCTTTATAGCTAAATTTTTGTTGCCTTCCCATGTAGTTTTCCTTATTAACTACTTAGTAATTGATCCCTTAAAAAACATGTTAAGAGCTTTTACTGTTTTTTTTTACTGTATGAGTATTAGTGTCATGAAAAAAAATCTGTCCCACTATGAATGATTATTGATCCTCACTTACAGATAAGCAGTGATCCCCTTGGGGGCCTTTTTCAGTTCTTCACAAAAAGGCCCCACATTTTTCTGTAGGATAAAGGTAACCCCTAGAATTTGTTGGCACTTTGTTGACATGCTCAGCAGAGGAGCCTGTACATTGGAAAAACTTGGGCATTTAATCATTTTCTTCCTAGGTGAGTGAGTTCTTTCCAAAACAGAGTTGAGGAACAGAAGGGGAGACTCAGGAGACTGGGTAGAGGTTAAACTGTTGTTGTGGATAGAAGACTTTGATCTGACAGGCTGTCACTTTAGCATTTTCATGTGCTTCAAGATGCCATGAAACTTCACTTCCTCAAATGCAGCAACAGTTTTAATCCTTGTCCTCCCCCAAAACTCAGCAAGGTTTTCAATGGCTTGAAGTTTCTGTTTTGCAAACTCATTAACCAAATTAATGTCTTACTCTGAAAGTGAATCTTAATTAATTCATGTTATTTTCCTAACAGGAAATGACAGACAACATGAGCAATGGAGGACCACAACTGGTATTTAATGGAAGAGTCTAATCAATATTTTAAAGAATTGATTATTTTTTAGGATTTTCATGAGGCAAGGAAATACCAAAGGACTAGGAGATAAAATTAAAACAGTTCTTGCATTTGCTGTTATCCCTCCTGAGCACTCACTAAAATTATTCTTCCTCAATTTTGCCTCACTATTTTCTTCAGCTTTTTTAACTGGGTGAGAAACTTTCCAGAAATGCTCTAGTATGTAATATCAACCGACTTTCTAAATTGTGCTAAAAAGACTTTTCAGGGGAAAAAAAGGAATGGATAAAACAGAAAGGTTCATATTCTACACAAACACTATTTGACTAGCATGAGTGTTAGATTTATAATGACATGTTTCATATAAGTAATTAAAAAGTGCAAGTGTCAAGAAATAATAATTTATTGATGTCTTTGTTCTGAAAGACGGTGGCTTCAAAGAATGCCACGATTCAAAACCTCATCAATGCCTTGTTGTAAAAACATTGTAATTATTTTCAATTTGTGAATGAACTATATTTCATAATTTATTTGTAAATTACCAAAAAACCTAAAGCATAAAAAAGAGGTTTTTTTAGAGAGAGACAGTATTAATCTGTATGATATTTTTGCACAAGAGTGAAAAGTTGTAAATGCATATCATGTAAGGAAAATAAATATGTTTGATTTTACTGTGCAGGTTGGTGGGGAAGTTCATGAGTGAATCTAAGAATAAAATAAAGTATATGTGTGTGTATATATACTGTAAATATAAAAAATATATATAGCACAAATTTATAGCATTCATGAATGTAAATAAGTAGTAGAAAAGAAATTGTGATGCTGTGGGGGTATTATCAAGATTTTATTACCACGGAAATGAGACAGCAATTATTCAAGGCTTTTCTGTGCCTACAAAGTCACATTTAATTTCTACTAAATTTTTTCATTTTTATTGCTTTTATTATGTCTGCTGTGTGTAAATATCATTGCGGCTGTTATTTATGGAGTTACGTGATCTGAATAGTGTAGTATCAAGATAGATTACTTAATTATTTGGCTATATTACTATTATGATATTTATGTAAGAACAATTATTAATATTGATTTATAAACATAACCACTTTAATCAAATACTTCCACATTATAAATATAGGCATAATGACTTGTGATTATTCATGATATTTATATTTCAAACACTATAAGCCCAATTAAATTATATAAAAGGACAGGTGATGTATGCCCAAAAGGTGAAGTTACAACTAGCTTTGTTAAAATTTAATTTAGGTTTTTTGTTTTGTTTTACAATTCACGTGGAAAAATACAGACAGACCATTTTTATGAATGCATATATCCGAAGAACCTGAAAGAGTTCTCTGTAGAAGGAAACAAAAAGATAGGCTTAAATTTATATAGCTAGATTCAATCCTTGTCTTCCATAACGGAATGTTAGAATGGCAACCTGTGACGATGAATATAGGTGAGAAAATAGCATGGTCTTGGAAAATATTTCTGAGAGTGTAACTTATGGCAACAGATAAAGAAATCTAATGTTTTAAAATATATAACTCACTGTATTTATGGTATACTTTTATTTTTCCTCAAAGCAGTTTTCAAGTCATTTTTTATGATTTGCTTACTGAATTATAGATAAATTTACACCTTTAATATCTAGTATGAGAACATGTTATCATTTAGAAGCAATATATAGGTTTTAATTGCACTAGCAAAGTACAAATAATTCCAACTAATGGAAATCTAAAGGTCTTTTAGTTTTAGAATAACTTGATCATCACCTACCCTATTTAAATCAGCTTATAAACAAAATCTGGCTATATATGTTTAAAAGAAATGACTGGACCATGTTGTTTGGTATAGTTTTTGAAGTCTCCCAACTCATATGAATGACTTCATTAGCCAGTAAATTACAGAAGTTGCCCATAAATGTAGCCTCAAATAATGAACCAACATCATCACTATTCATTTGATGCCATAATCAGGCATGCTCTTTGTCACTGAAAATCTAAACTATAGAGTGAAGGTATTTTGTGGTTAAATGATTCTATTGAATTTATGCAAGGATGTAGTTTTATACTGAAGGACTAACTGCTGACTCTAATTTTAGGTGGCGTTTCTTTGTCGACATATTTGTACAATACAGAGTTATAATACACCAGTAAGATGTTTTAATGCCTTTTGAAATAATACACGGAATCAGCCATTAAAGGACAAAAGTAGGTCTATCACTGCTTTGACATAAAGTTAAGAAGCAGTGTCATCATCATAATTATCCAAGTAGTCTACAGTGTATTTAGCCAAGTATAGCTACATATTTAATGTAATTATTTCAACCCAATCTTTTCAGGACTCACTTATTTAGAGTGATTTATTTGGGAAGTGTGATTCTTTTTGAGATAAGTGAAGGAAGTTAGAAAGACTTTGCAAGTACTTGAAAATCTGATTTTCATAATACATTGAAATGTGAACTAGAATATTTCAAGTGACTATCTTACAGTTTTAGTATGAGCCTACCCTTGGGAAAAAGTCATGTGATACTAAATTAGAAAAAATATGTGAAACTAATGTGGCAGTGTGCTGTCGAGACTAGCTACAAAAAGGGGCAGTAATTTTAAGTATAAAAGAATAAAAGTGGACTCTGCTTAAAAAATTTTCTACATATATGTGTGTGTCTCTGGACACATACATACACATATATACAACTGTTTAGAAGTGGAACATGGTATAATGAGTCTATTGCTATGTCTGGGTAATAAAATGGTGTGTTTTGAAACTAACTGGTGTGAGCTTTCTTTCCATCGTGATACAAAAATTAGTTTCCCCCGATAGCTAGATGAATAAATGTGCTGTTCTGAGATTAGAGGGAACAGGATGCTGTAAATGAGGAAGCAGAGATAGTCCCAGCTAGAGGATATAGAATTAAGAAAGGGTATTATTTGAGATAGAAAAGATTAAAGTATGTTCAAATGTAGACAGGAAGTGGTTGAAGATACAGGACAAAACGAGCATGATGAGAAAGTGAGGTCCCTGAGGAGGCAGGAGGTAATAAGATACAGATCATAGGAGAGAGAATCAACTAGAGATAGCACTGAGATTGCAAATCCCACAAATGAAACCTTTAAATGAAATATTTAGAGAACTCTGCTGACCTATTTAGATTTGTCAGATTGGTTGTTACTGGCATTTGAGGGGGACAGTACTTCACTGTGCAGACTGCACTATGCATTTCAGGCCATTAAGCATCTCTGGTCCCCACCCACTAAATGCCAGGAGGACACTTTTGTTATAACAACTGAAAATATCCTAACAAACTTTCACCTGTCTCTTTGGTAGGGAACTATTGCCCCCTAATTTAGAACCACTGAGGAAAACCCTTGAACATGATCCAGAGTGACCAATGCTAGTGCAACTCACAGGTCGAGACTTGAATTGCTCAGGGTCATAAACTCACTGTTCTAAGTTCTGCTGTAGTATTTGATATAGTAGCTACAATCCTGTCCACATGTGATTGTTTAAATTTAAATATAAATCAGTTAAAATCAAATATATTCAGTTTCTCAGTTGAACTAGCCACATTTCAAGTTCTGAACAGCCACATATGGACAACATCTCAGAAAGCCTACTGGACGATGCTAGTCAAAAGTACATTGAGGGGAACCGTCCCTCACCCACAGTACTTAGTATAAAGGTTCTTTCACAGTCAACCAATTTTCATTATGATAGAATTTGGGAAAAGAGTTGGTAAACACTCGTGGAATTTGTAGTTGATGAACCAATTAAATCTAAGGACTGAACAAAACTAGCAAAAAACTAGCAAAAATACAGTGTGGGCCAAACACATAATAAAGTTGAGAAGTTGCTTTAGAGATTTCATGTTTAAAAAAAAAATCTGTTCTTGCAAAGATTCCACTAAATCACTAAATATTTTATGTTTGACAGGTAAAGTGAGATGTTGCATAACGCCTATTTTTAAAGAAATGTACTCAGCCCATCGCCCTGCGTCAATGAAAAATTCTGCATTTCTTGGGCTTGGGAAGGTGAGAACAACAACATGCTGCCCTCCACTTTTTTCATTTCGTTCACTTAGCACAAAAGTGGCACGTTTAGAACTACATTTTCAAAGATTATTTAGCAAACACATTTCAGAAACTCAGAGAGAGTATCTTAAGTACCATTTGGTTAAAACAGAGTTTCCAAATAAAGTTTCAGAACTTGGCATCACTTCACTCTTTTCTCCCTTAAATCATTTTTCTGGAAACATATGTAATATTTCTTACTCAAAGGATATGACAGCCAAGAAATTCAATTATTCCAAGTCCATAAATCACAGGTTGTCAGTTACTCATTGCAGAGGAAACCAATTCAGAAATTGCTAGAAATGTGTATGCCTAGTAAACTTAAACAGAAGAATTAAAAAAAAAAAGCAAAACTCTTTTTACTGAATACAAAGTCTTTTACTAGGAAAGTATTTCCCAAGAAATATACTATAAAAAGTCAAACTCTAGATCTAAAAAAATTTATTTCACTATGTTAACAGTTCAGTATTACCTACATCAATTAACTGTGGTCAGATCACTTTCATTTACTTGGGAATCTTTCAGAACTCAGGTCCATCTTCACTTTCCTTCCCATCAGCTAGACTACTGATTTCAACATCTTTCCTGCCTTAACATCCGAAGGCTCTGCTTCTGTAGCCTCACAGCGCATGGCAAGCCTTGCCCTCAAAGTCAAAATGTGTTGTTACTGAGGATTGCCAGAGAGACTAGATGCTTCACGGGAAAACCTAAAATCTTGTCAAATTTGCATCAAATCTTTTATTGACCACAAAGGATCAGGACTCATGATTGCACCTTCTTATTAGTCAATCTGGATATTGGTCCCTAACTACTCACTAAGACAGAGGACCTCAAACATTCCACAACATCTGGAAGAAGGGCTAGAAGAAATCCCTCCGGCCCTCCAAGTTCACTTCCCCGGGAAAGAAAAGCCACAGGTTACTCTGTGGGTGGCTGCACCAGTCAACACTGTCCCTCGCCCTGCCCCTCATTGTAAATCAGCCAAAGAAAGAGGTAACACTCAACCTCTTTCATATAAATGGGCTCTAAGGGCTCTAAGCTGTCTAGACGCCCACCGCCCCCATGACTATCCACACAGTCTTTTGAGATTTGGACATCACTGCCTTTTCTGTCTTCCAAGTATATTGATACTTTCACATCAATATCTGAGAAAAACAAATAAAATAAAATGAAAGCTCTGTATCCTCTATAATAAAACACATTTCTGGAAAGAATATCATGTTTTCAGGTCATGATAGAGAGGTAACATTAGCCTATTACTATCCATCAGCAAAAAAGATGGCAGTGCAGCAGGTAAAAAGACAACCATTTATTAAGCACTCTTATAATGTACATTGTCTATAAATGTGAATATTCCTCTGTCATATCAATAGCATTTATTTTACTTGAAATAAGGAAAAGGTGGGAAGACATCAATATTTCACCTAAAAGGTAAGGTCATTTCTAGTTTCTGTATCCATGAATCTTAAAGTCATTCAACCAAAGCATGCAATTTATATACACTTAGGTCCAAAAAACAAACCACCACTCCATCCCATACAAACCACTCCACTTGACTTGTTCTGCTGCTTCTGATTTCAGATCCAAATATCTGATGTGTGGCACTGCCTTGATTTCAGTTTCTGGCCCCTGTTCTTGGACCTGAGGCTTTATCTCTCTAGCTGTCAAGCTTTGACCATCGCAGCTACACACCTCACTCTAAATTAATAGGACTTCAGTGGTGTTGGTTACCCGGCAAACAGGCGTGTGCTCAAATTGAAAATGGGAATTCAAAGGAAGGATCTCAGATAATTAAAGGGAGAACTTGAGCTCTCTATACCCTGAATGTAAAGAAGTTGAAAAATCTAGGAGGTCATTGGAGGCAGTGAGGGAGCTGTCAGTGAGAAACCAAAGCAAGATGACTTCCCCCCTGGGTTTCATAAGGGAGTTAGATCAGTAAGCTACAAAGAAAACTAATTTCATAATGAATAAAATTCTGCCTTTATATTTTAGATATGTTAATTTCTTGTAGTATCTGCCTTTTCTTTTAAATCTTTAGCCTACTCACCTGCACCGAAAAAAAAAAAAAAACCCACCATCAGAGGAAGAGGTTTTATTCAAGCAGAGCTAACACTATCCATAAGTATCATTCTAAAGCAGGTATGGTGCATGACAGCAGGAACCACAACAAGAAACATCAAGAGAAAGTGAGACACTTTGGTCCTCCCAGAAATACCCATTTCCATGTGAATTTTGGAGTTTCAGAGTTTTATTTTACTGACAAATGTGGCTTTTATGTAGTGTCTTCCTGCACGAATTCTGCCCACTGTTGCTTTCTTTCACAACCGAGAATGTCCACTTTGCCACTAGATAAAGATAAATTCCTTTACTGTAATAATTTCCAAAGCCTTAAAGTATTGATGGCACCCTGTAGCCAGAAGAGGAAGTGGAGAATATGATCTATTAATATGGATTTTGTGTAATGACTTGAGAGTAAATTCTGTATCAAAATGCACCATCTCTAAATTTCATTTTTAGCTACTTTCCACCCTCAAACTTTCCATACCACGTTCTTTGGAATATATTTAATGTCAAAGATCTGCGAGTATACACCTACACAAAACTCTGCAGCCAGCAGGTGGTTGATTAAACTACAGCTTTAAAGTAATATTCAAAAACATAAAAAAGGAAAGTGTTCTCTTTTTGTTCTGCAGCAAGCTAAAGACAGATGGAAGTAAACGAGAATTTCCACAGATAACCTTGCAAAGCACCATGGTTAATTTCATTGGCCAGATTCCTTGGATTTGAAAACCTTGCAAGAGGGGTGTTGAAATTTTGCTGCAGTAATGTCTAACTGAGAAGGAAATAGGGCCTTAGGAGAAATGCTAGCCCTAGTTTTCATCAAAGGACAGGAAGCTATGTAAAGATGACATCAAATCCTCAGAAAGTAGCCCACTCCTTCTGAGACCTCCTTTACCTCTTCCCAACCAACCCAGTGCACACCTACAAGTGTACACCCACAGACACAAACACATGTCCTGAATTCAATTTATTAAGATGATCCTTTTTAAGTTAAATCTTTCATCCAAAAGGGCTCTGTAGTTGCCTTCCTGGTAATGACTGATAGATACCTAGATAGATACTTGCAACCTCAGGTGGCTGAAGTTAAATATTGGTATGATTTTATGATTTTATCTAAGCCTGTATTTTAAAGTTTAGGTTTAAACAAATGTATATATATAAATGTGTGTGCTAACATATATATACATGTATGTGTTTGTATAAATGTGTTTGTATTTTGAGAGAGAGCAAATTCTAACACACTTTCTTCAGTAATATTCAGAACATCTAAACTACAGCCAGGAGATAAAATCCAAGCATAAAGATCAGGGTGTTTCAACATTATTATATCTGGTTACCGCAAAAGTCAGACACAAATAACTGCATATCTAGAGGGTGAAAATATGAGTACTTAAATTTATTGTTCTTTTTCTTACCCTCATAAGCACCTAATGTGATTTATAAATAATCTATTTATTAAAACTGTGAAAACTGTATTTATATATTACGGATGAGAAAAAAGTTTGCCTCTAGACTGAAAAAGTTGAGTAAACACTGCCTCTCATGGGAACAGGTAGGTTGTGTTCTTTGAGAAAGTTTGAATTAAGCAATTCAAGTAGCAAGATAATTGAGGCATAGTCATGTTTAGGATGAAATTATCACATAGATAAACAATTTTGTATGCCTTCTCTTATTTACAAATGAAAAGTGTGCACAAGTGTATTTGTTGTTAATTTAAAATGGCTGGGCTGTTGATTTCAGTGACAAGGATTGCAAAGGATTTGTCTGTGCCTCAGAAAAGAGAACATAAGTATGTGTTAATAGAAATAAGAATAATACACATTTTGTAGAAAATTGTTTTCCTTCATGAAGATTGTTCTCTACTCCTTGGAAATAATCCTATTTTGACTTAGTTTGAATTTGTTTCATTATTTAGGTTCTAACACAAAATTTACCAGAATGTTATCACTTTCAGTGTAATGCAGAGGGGAACATAAATTGAAATTCTTCTTTTGGTATGAGAAATGCATGGAAATTAAGTAATGGCATTTCTACTCGTCTGAGTCTGTGTAAGTCATGTACTATTTTATGTTACTTACTTTACAAACTTTACTGTGTTTGAATGTTAAATCATATAAAATAAATAATCAACTATATTATTGATTATCACTGTATTTATATCAATTATACCTGAGTTAAAAACCATCAGTTAAGAGCCTCACTTCTGTATTTCAAACCTCTTTGGAGGCACTGGTTCTCAAACTTCAGCAGGTAATACTAATCACTTGGAGAGCCTGGTAAAAGGTATTGCTGGGCTCCATCCCCAGAGTTTTGATTTAGGAACCCTGGGTGGGGCCTGAGAATTTTCATTTCTAACCACTTTAGAAATAGTTTTTGCTGGTCCAGGGACCTGACTGAGGACCAGCAATAAAATATAACTTTATTAAATTAGTCAAGTCTTAACTTACAGACAGATACATTTGAGTCATTGCATTTCTGTGTATTTTCAGTAACAGCTATAGCTTGCAAAATGTAAAAATCTATTTTATTCAATGAAATGTAATATAATGAGCTCTATTATTTCTTTTTCTTCGTTGCAAACAAGGTTTACGTCTATTAGTTAAACAATCTAGTAAGCCGGTAGGAAGGGCCTTCAGAGTCAAAACTTAATCCTAAGTCCTTTGGTCCTTTTTTTTAGAGGATCGTAGGTAAAAACAGCTGTCAATAAACAGTTGCCTTGATTTTTGCCATTCTTACAGTACTTTGGGCTAAAGC